GGATTGTGAAAATTTGCGATGGTTTCCGCTAGGGGCCCTTCGTTAAAAAACGTTTTCGACGGTTTCTTTTGTAATGTGCGTGGACGCACAAATCAACGGACAGCACGGCCTAAAAGCTCAGTTTTTTTCTCGTTAGGATGGCGTAATCAAATTGTGAAAATGAAGAATTTCGGTGAATTTCAAATGCAAAAGAATGCAGGGAACAAGAAAACGGATGTCACCATGCAAACGCACAGCGATTTCCGTTTTCTTCTTCCTCGCATTCTCCTGCATTTTAGCTTTACCGGAATTCTTTATTTGCGATGGGTCCCGCTGACCTTGCTCACTAGGGACCCTTCGTCAAATTACGTTTTTGACGGTGCCTTTGAACGCCAGTCATCATCGCACAATTCAAACCGAAAAAAGGGCTGAAAGCACAGTTTTTTCCGGTCAGAATGGCGTTATGGGAATGTTGAAATTCGTGATGGCTGATGGGTGAAATTTTGTAGCCTTGTCGGTTCAAAAGCACAGTTTAAGGAAGTTGCGTCACTGAGTTCCGTTGGCCTTGTTTATTTAAGCCCTCCCGCGAAAGGGCGTTTTGATGGTCCGTTTGGCCACCTGTCGTAGACGCACTATTTAAACGGATAGCACCTTCTAAAGAAACAATTTCTTCTGGTCAGAATGGCAAAATCGAAATGTACGAAATGTAGAGTTTCTTTGGCAATGTGCGTGGACGCACAAAACAAACGGATAGCACGGCCTAAAAGCAGAGTTTCTTTCCGGTTAGAATAGCGTTATCGGATTGCTGCAATTTGCGATTTGTCACGCTAACCTTGTTCACAGGTCCCTGCGTCAAAATACGTTTTCGACGGTTTCTTTGGCAATGTGCGTGGAAGCACAAATCAAACGGACGGCACGGCCTCAAAGCTCAGTTTTTTTCTCTTTAGAATGACGCAATCGGATTGTGAAAACTTGCGATGGGGGACCCATTTAAACACGTTCTTTGTCGCCCAGAAAGAGACGAGCACCGAAATTACGTTTTGAACGGTGCCGTGGAACACCCGTCATCGACGCACAATTCAAAAGAAAAGCACGGGCTGAAAGCACAGGTTTTTCCGGTCAGAATGGCGTAATCGGATTGTTATAATTTGCCATTGGTGAAATTCGCTGTGTCCCTAGCCCCTG